CTATTCGTATTTTTAAAATTAATTTTATTGATTTTATTAATTAACTTTAGGAATCCTAAACTCCCAATTTCATTATTCTATTAGATAATTAATTTATTGTATTCTAATTGCTAAATTTTGGGAGTTACATGTTTGTATTTGTTATTGTTCATTTTGAAAAATTGAGTGTACGTACTCCTTGACTTATATTGATTTTGAGTTTATTGTTTTGTGAATTCTATGCTTCATTACTTCAATATATAACTTTCTGTATATGATATTGTCAATTTTGGAGTTTGGACAGAAAAATTTCATGTAATCAGACAAGTTTATATCAAATTGGGGAAGGATATTTCATGAGAAAATTACCTAAATAGGAGTAAAAACGTTTGAAATTCCAAAATAGGAGTATCATGTTTTTTATTCCCTAAATAGGAGTAAAATTCTGCCAAGTTTGGCATTACAAGGCTTTTAACATGACATTTTTTTTTTCAAACTTGCATATTACTCTTATTTAGGGAATAAAAAACATGATACTCCTATTTTGGAATTTCAAAACCTTTTTACTCCTATTTAGGGCAATTTCTATTATTTCATCTGTGTACACAATATTATTGAAACGTGTAATCTCTATTATCTAATATATATATGTTTAATTATTGAGATATTTGAGTGTTAGTAACCATGATGTTGGGTATGTAGCCACGCTTTTGATAATGCTACTAACTAATTTCGTGATAATTTTGATTGAAACATAGTATGTGATTATTTTGATTTTATATACTGATCTTTTTTTCTTCTGTTCAAATAACCCAAGTAATAACTCAGCATGAAATTAACGCAAAGTTGAAGGTAATTAAGAATTCTTGATACTATTATATTGCAAATTTACTTTTCTGCTATGGAAACATTTGGGAAATCCATTTAATCAAACATTTTCATCAGTTACTGCTGGATTTCCTAGCCAAACACATAGATAGTAGAGATGATGAGATGGCTACTTAGTTTAATGTTGAGTCAAGCTAAACCTTATGCCTTCTATTGAGCGTAGATAGTTCCCTTTATGCTTGGTTACAAGATGATCATTAATAAGAGTCTGGGACAGTCTATGGAGAGGGCTGATGTTTTCTTACGTCGTTTGGTTTTCACCCGTGAACAACTTCACATCACGGTCTCAAGAGTAACGTCCCTGTATGTGTTGAAGTTTGATATATGTGATGTGACGGTAAACCGGCCAAGAAGACTTTAAATGTGGTTTACAAGGAAGTATATAATAATTTGTAATTTTTTTTATCTTCATTTACTTTAGTTAGAAACAATATATACATTGATCTGCATCTATCACAACATTTTTTTATATTCTCAAATTATTTATTAGTTACTAACTTCATCTCGTGCGAAGCACGGGTGAAAATTTAGTATTAATAATAATAATAGTGATAACATTATAATAATTGTTAAAAGATAACTATACCCACAAAGTATAGCTCGTATATATTTACGTACACGAATTTGAATCTTATTTATAATAAATCATAAGTACTAGACAGAGTAAGGATTATAAATGAATCAAATAATTTTAATTCGTTTAGTGATTTGGATTCAACTCCGCCATGAGATCATTTTTTTTGGTTTCATGCCTGTCCCAAGCCAGGATAAAGGAGGAGGGTGCTGTGGTAGGCGCGTGACGGCCAACAGTATTACCTAGTCACATCACATGACATGAATCGAAATATATATTGTTTGGGACTAAGGCTTGGATGTTGTTGTTGTTGTTGTAGTGATTTGGATTCAACAAGTATGACTTAAATTTGAAAAAATATAATATAAATACAAATACAAATCAACTTTTGGTTCAAATGTCTTTCAAATACGAATACAAATAATTATGTATTCAATTCAAAGAATAACACTACAAAAAAACACGCCTTTAGTCATGACCGTGACTAATACGAAATTTCAAAACATTGAAAAAAGGAAACGCGGGTTTTTGAAAAATTCAAAAATTTGAAAACTTAGTCACGGATATTTCCGTGACTAATATGACCGATTTTTTTTAAAAAAAAATACTTAGTCACGGACGTGTCCGTGACTAATATAAAAAAAAAATTAAAAAAATGTAGTCACGGATCTTAGCCGTGACTAAAGTGCCGGAGCAGCTATTCCGGTGACAGATTAGTCACGGATCTGGTCCGTGACTAATCCGTGACTACATTTAGTCACGGACAATTTGACGTGACTAAATTTAGTCACGCCCAAACAGTCACGGAATTAGTCACGGACAGAATCCGTGACTAAATGAGTTAGTCACGGATTTTTTACACTGTGGTCCGTGACTAAATCCGTGACTATAGCCGAATTTTTTTGTAGTGTAATCAAATATATTCGTTTATATATATATATATATATATATATATATATATATATATATATATACACACACAAAATCAACTACCTAATATGCATGTGTGTGCATCAACTATCCACTATGTGTGTGTATAGTTTAAGTTATACTCCATTTATCTAATGGCTTCTTATTAGCAACAATGATAGATACCTAACATAAAATTAGAGTCGTTTGACTTTGATATATACAACTATCAACTTATCTCACATATTTAACTTATGTTCAAATCGATTCAATGTTCGTATTGTTAAACAAATACAAATACAAATTGAAATTAATATTCGTTTTATATTTGAATTCGGATTCGTATTAAAAAAAATAAAAAAATACAAATACAAAATCTCACTATTCGACTCGGTTTGGTTCATTTACAGCCCTACTGATCATACAAATGGATTGTAAAATTGTTCGAAAATACTCCTTGTATATAAGTTGTGCACACAATTAAGACCGTCTAATAAATTTGGAGGTCCCGATTTGCCCCTTAAAACAAGGAAAAATATGAAATATAACAATTAAATGCAAATAGACTAGATATTTCATTGAATTATGAGCTTTATAACGTAAAACACCAAACTACAGCGCAACTTCGTGTGGAGTTACGAAGAGTCTCTCTCTAAGCCTAGTTGCCGTCTCCCTTATTTGTAGGGGTTGAGATTTTCCACCGCCCCTATCAATATGGGACTGGAGCAGCATATTGTACTGATTCTGGGTGTTTTAATGCTTGGAATTGCAACTACATCGAAGGAGATAACGTTGACAGATAAACGAGTTGTGGCTAGGAGTTTGTATCAATGTTGGATTGTGAAGTCTTGGTCGACCACTCCGACGGTGGTGGAGTTGGTATTCACCCATATTGCAAGAGCTCGTCCTCCTCCGGAATCACCTTCATACTGGAAGAGTTTTGTAGAAAGATTTTATGTCAATATTATTTTCTCTTTAGTAGTACTTGTTTCTGTTCTAGTCCGAGTAGATTCGATTTGAATGTTTGGATTTTTTGAGCTCTTTTGACAAGCAGGGTTTCAGACACATTCGTTTTAAACTTTGTATGAGTTGACTGAATCTATATCTACTCCTAAGGTTCACGGTTGGACCTGTAAAATTTGTCTCAAGGTTGTCTTGTATGTGTTCTCGTTTTTAATATAAAACTGCTCTTTTACAATAAAAAAATGCTTAACGTAAATTAATTAGATAATCTAAAACTATATATTTTGGAATCTTGAATAATGCATAACATCTAGAAACTTCTAACCTATAAACACACAAAAGTCTTTACTCCCTTTTCCGACTTGTAGATCATCAAATCGGTCACCTGATGTTCTAACGACGCTGGGAGGAGGAACCCGAACACGACTTCAGATACAATTTTCAATCTTGGCCATGGAATCCCCTTTCATGAGAAGAGTGTCGGGAGTTTTTGTCCATTCTCCAGGCCCTATGGCGGTTTTCCAAAATGGTTCCACCAACATGTTGCGTGACGAGAAACGTAAATAGAGAATCTCCCTCACATCTCTCCAATTATATTACTCTACCTATTGATGAGCGTCTGGGTCTAAGAAGCATACCTCAGGTGGGTGGGGGTGTTGTCCAAAATTCGTATATATCTGCATGCATTGATTAGATAAATAGAAGAAAAAGAAAATACTTGTATCAACCGAGCCCAACAAAAGCGTTGTCTCCTTAAGACGTTTTTGCCCGACACACGTAGCAAGCGTCTCCTAGGATAGAACGGTTCTTCGCTCCCAACGGGATTCCGGCGAACTCAAAGATGCAACGAAGGAAGAGAGAATTTGAGGAATTGTTTGTGAATTTTCGGATATCTCAAAAGTGAAGACAAGGCGGGTATTTATAGAGCTCTGGCCAGGAGTCTCTTAACCCAAAAGACACCTTTTAAAAGAAAGTTCATGACCTTTCTTTTAAAACGAATGGTTGTTTCTTTTATTTGGTTTTATCCGAAAAACGTAGCAAAAATAAATCTACCTATCTTAAGCCCGCTTGTTGACTCGTCAAAGACCCGAACCCGACCGACTGACGGCGGCAGTGTATGCGTGTTAAGTATAATTTCACGCTTATCTTTCGGAGAATAATTTCTCATTCATTTCAAAATGACCATAATATTAATTTGTAAAACCATTTTTCCAACAGGGGGCTTAACCCTACCCCTTTTCCTTTCCATACCCCATGAGTTTTTTTGAACTAACGTGTGGATTAATAATATACACGGGCGAGGACAACATTTATAAAAATCTGGACAATACTAAGGGGATCACATCTATATAAAATAAAACATGTGGATGACATCAATGTAAGTACTATGTGAGAGACTCAAAGTTAAAATTTCCTTAAAACAAAATAGAGAAAATAAAATACTTTTTACATCTCCGTCCCTTAGGATCAACAATGACATTTCCCTATAAGGTTACAAGCAATCATGACCAAAACAAGTGAGGACATATGATTTGCTTTCTCGACTCTCGTGAGAGGTCATTCTAAAACAAACATTTATTTTTACCATTTGACCTTATCATGAGTCATGTCGTATCAAAACAGTGATGACACCTTAATTGATTCCATAATAAATGTTATAGAAATATAAAACTTTGAAACGTGTAATTTATTTTTGTGCTTCAATATATTTAGTTGTATACAAAATTACATATTCTTTATTATCATATCATAATGTATCTCTATATTAAAAGTAAATACATCCTGCATTACCATTTTAAATTGTAAACCCAAAATAGACAATATACAAAAAAAACACATTTGTACTACATGCACCATAAGTGTATAATACTACTTCAGTGCTAATTAGCACATATACTACAATTTATATTAAATTGCTACATAGGAATGTGAATTGAAAGTAGGGATGACAATGTTCAGGTGGAGTCTCACCCACATCATTCCTTTGATTTTTTATCCCTCGCTCGATTCATTTGTTGTCACTCGTTTAATATTTCATGCACATACAACTAGACAATCAGTCGAAAAAACGCAACATCTACCCGCTCCCCAACGAAGCCAGGCGACGGGGGCCACATCTTCACCCTGCATGAGCACCCTATCAACGATGGGTGCCACTTGCCACATCATAACATTGCTAGAGTTTTTTTGACACTTAAATCTACGTAACACTCTTTCACAAAAAATACTCTGTTATATATTTGTCATGTTGAAAGGTCATCATCATCATCATCATCATCATCATCATCATCATCATCATCATCATCATCATCATCATCATCATCATCATCATCATCATCATCATCATCATCATCATCATCATCATCATCATCATCATCATCATCATCATCATCATCATCATCATCATCAAGTTTTCTTTTTTTCAATACGTCATACAGAAGCAAGTGAAAAACAACATAGCTATATTTAAAAGCCAAAATATTGTGGAGAAGGGGGATGAGGTTTATAAAAAGGGACAAGACGTGATCCAGCCCAAAACCGAAATTACAGGTCCTAATCTCAAGCCCACATTTTTGCTTTTAGAAGCATTGGCCTAATACTCCTATTCTTATCAATTTTAAAAAAATAAATCATTGCTTTATACGGATAAAATTGTATTCTGGTTTTCCTTTTCAATAAAAAAGGATCATTTTCCCGTTACTAAGTAGTACTACGAAGTATATGAGGGTGTTTGGAACTGATTCTACATCTTCTTCTTTTTAAAGCAGGAGCAGAATCAGAATCAATTTTCAGATGTTGGTCTCCTCCGGCTTCTAAAAATCGGATTCTATGAGTGAATTAGAGAACCAGAATCAGTTTTACACTTTTATCTAAACATTTCAACTTCTACTTCTGTTCTTTGAAAGAGCTTAATCAGTTTTAATAATCAGATCCAAACACCGCCTATAACTACTCCATATATACGAGGGTAATTGATAAAGGGAATCTATATTTTATGGGGAGAAAAACTTAGGTGGCCCATTATGGACCTAGAGTCTATATTTCTCAAGTTCTATTTAGTGAAGCCCAATCATTGAGCCCATGCCGAAACTGCGGCCCGATGGGGGGTGAAATCAAAGGGTAAAATCCTGGGAGCGGCCGGAAGATCGATTACAGTGAGCAATGGCGGCCTGAACGGAATTATCTCTGGTATACGCCACTTTTCCGGTGAACGATGAAGCAGCGGAAGTAGCCCATTGATGGTGGTGATGATGCAGAGGCGTCGACTTGACAGAAGCAGGGCAACTTTTAGACGGCATCGCGCCGCCACACTTGGCATGATGTGAATCAGGCGCCACCAGCTCTCGGAGCTTCACCCCCAGGCCCTGCAGCAGTAACACCGACGATCTCGATTTATCCGCCGCCGGGACATCACTCATCCCTTGCTGTCGATGCGGAGGAGATTGCTTTTGCCGCGCTAGAATTGGCTTGCTGCTCGCGGGATTGATCTGGAAACCTCTAGATGAAGAGCCGGCGGATCCAGATGTGGTGGGTGAAGAAGAAGAGGAGGGGAGGTGCTGGCTTCGGATCCTCCAGGCCTTCCATTGGAAGCTCATAAAGTAGCGGAATTTGAGCATGACGCTCATGATTCCTCCGCCGAGTCCGCTCTCCGATCCGCCCTCTTCCGCCCTCCTACATGACCCCTTCCTGTGGTAAATTCCAACATTCTATTCAATCTTTTCAAAATAAATGACCATTCAGGAAAACTGTGTTTTTTTTACACCTCGGTATATTTTATTGATATCACTGATGATACGTTTGTATTCGAAACAATTTGTCAAAAAATCCAAAAGTTTTATACCAGTTCGGTGTGATCTAGACAAAATGTCGAAGTGTACCTAAAAACGTGTACACCAAACATTTTGAATTAGATAATATAATATCATAGATCATCATTATTTATATCCTCCTTTAAGTTTAGTGTAGTTCCACGTGTTTTTAGATAAAATAATTTTTCTAATTGATTTTTAAAGTATGCCCTCTCAAAAATATAATAGAAAAAATTAATAAATAATGATGTACTACTCAAACTTAAGATCTTCCTGCTTTCCTTTTTTAGGTGTCCCAAAATGAAGTTCTCATTTCCCTAAATGAAAAGTTATCCTACATCTTCTTCAAATGTGTATTTACGGGAGCAATCTGGGAAGGAGTTAGGCAGTGGCTTAACATCAAGAAGAACTCTTGAGCAAAGTCAAGTTATGTTTGAAGCAGTATGGAGGAGCAAGATTGACTAGCAAGGCCATCAGGCTAGCCTTGTGTTGCACTGTCTATTCAATTTGGAAGGCTAGGAATGAGCAAATCTTTGCACATAAAGATGCTACTATCGAGGGAGTACTCTTTCAGATTAAATTACATGTTTATCGTGTTCTTTTTGGACTTTACCCTGTTGGTATGGTAGAGTTTTGGTTCTCTTTTTGTCTATTTCTCAGTTGCTATGAAATTTGAGTGGCTTGGTGTTAGTGATGTATTACTCTGAGAGAGTTGTTTTATGTTGTCTCTTTGAAACTTTAGTCTGATTCCTTTTTGATTGGGGAATGCCCCTCTAAATGTTGTACTTAAATTTTGGCATTTAATATATACTCCCTCCGGTTCTTTTTAAACTTCAGTGTTTGACTTCACAGTTATTAAGGAAATAAAGTTGACTTTACTGTAGAGTACACTGTTGAGACACTGTTTAACACTGTTTGGCACTGTTGAGACACTGTTTGACACTGTTTAGTACTGTTTAACACTGTTTTGATGTAGATTTCTTTGCCAAATAAGGAAATAAGGAAGTGTGAAGTTTATTTTGGACCGTCCCAAAAAGGAAAGTGTGAAGTTTATTTAGAACCGGAGGGAGTATATATTTACCTTTTTACCAAAAAAAAAGTCATCCTACGTCAAAACATTGCAAAATAGTGTCAAATAGTACCAATCACTGTAAACTTTACAGTAAAGTCAAATTTATTTCCTTAATATATGTGTGTAGATCAAACTAGGAAGTTTTTAGAGGGACGGAGGGAATACAAAAGAAGAAGAAAAAGGTTAATTGTGAAATGCCCAAAAAGAAAAATGAGAACGTAATTGTGAGACAAGACAGCATATAATGATTTGTACTAACTACTCAAACTAATAATGATAGACTGGAACAGTATGATAGACTGATAGTGTATTTTAACACTGTTGAAGTATTATATAATCTTATGCATTTAAATTTGATCTTTGATCTATTTTAAACTTGTATTATACACCTGTTGATGCACTTTTCAAATTTGGTCGCTTATACTACCTCCGTTCTTAAATAAGTGCAACATTGCAAATTTTACACTATTCACATGTTCTATTTTGACTACATTTTATTTATTGATGTATTAATATATATTTTTGAAAAAATATTACTAAATTTGTCTCAATGTAAATTTTCAAAATCTGATTTTTTATTTTTATTTTTACTAATAGAGAGTTATATATATATTAATGGTCAAAGTTGTGCCTCAGCAAATGTGAAATATTGACTGTTGCACTTATTTAAGAACGGATGTAGTATGTCATTATAATGTGTTAAATACTCCTCGTGTGATATTTAAGTGAGTTTGACCAACATTTGAAATCATGAAATATAAACTGTTTGATGTAGGGATTTATGTAGAGCAAAAATATTTATTGAAAATAATAAATTATTTACTTAAAAGAAAAAAATAAATAAGTAGTCGAGCAAAGAAATGTTTTTAGGTTATCAGAGACTTAAGCAGAATTGTTTTTTTCTTCTATAGATCAGTTCAACCACAACATTTTTACTTTGATATTCTGTAACAAATTTTTAAAGAAAGTAGGGAAATGACCCTAAGAGCATCTCCAATGTGCACGGTGCACATGTGGCATGCGAGATAGCCACATAAATATTAGCAAATAGATTATCTCTTTTCTTATTTGGATGATTTTGTACAATTGTGGTAAGTTTTTCCTTACAATGTTAACCACAATATCTTCTTGATAATGTGAAGAAAAACTTAGCAAATTTGCATAAAGTCATTCAAATAAGGAAATAGATAATTTATTTGTTAATATTTACTCCGTATATGACTATCTCTCATGTCACATGTGCACCGTGCACATTGTAATAAGTAAATACGCTTCTTTATTTCAAAACAGAACTATCTTGTTTTTATTGTCTTAATAGAAGTTGGAAGTATGACGACTAACATTGGAGAACAAGAGTTTCGGACTAAGCCAGAGCAAGACAGAGTACATGGAGTGCAAGTTTGGTTGAGGTAGAAGCAGTGGTAATAGTGGAATTACTCTAGATGATAAGGAGATACCGATCAGTGATATGTTCGATCCGTTACTTGGGATCCATAATTCAGGAGGACAATGAGCTAGATGAAGATGTATCCCATAGAATCAGAACATGGTGGATGAAGTGGAAGAGTGCGTCAGGATCTCTATGTGATAGAGGTATGCCGACTAGACTGAAGAGTAAATTTTATAGGACATCAATTAGGCCTGCATTGCTGTATGGTGTAGAGTGTTGGGCGGTGAAACAATGTCACATTCATAACATGAGTGTGGCAGAGATGCACATGCTGCGTTGGATGTGTGGGCATACCAGGAAGGACCACGCGAGAAATGAGACAATCAGACAAATGGTGGGAGTAGCACCTATTGATGACAAGATGTGGGAGTCTCGCCTACGGTGGTTTGGTCATGTGCGTAGAAGACCGAGTAATGCCCATGTCAGACGTGTTGAGATGTGTGGAGAAGAGGCAGGGAAGAGAGGGAGAGGAAGATCCAAACAGACGTGAGTTAGGGGAGTCCGAAGTGATACGCTTCTTCTTGGGTTGGATGAGGGTATGGCTTTGGAGAGAGCAAAGTGGAGGGCAGGGGTATTCGTGTGGAGGAGTGATCTCGTATTATTATTTCCCCTCATCTTTTCTTCTTCTTGTTTTTTATTCTTTTATCCTTAATTATATATATAAACATTATTTTTATCCTTTTTATTTTGCCATTTTTAGGTATATTCATCTCGTTTTATATATTTTTTTATAATAGCTTATTTTTTATCTTTATTTTCTTTCTTTTCCTTTTGGTGGTGATATCATGTATCGATTCATTTTAGCCGACCCCAATATCTTTTGGGACTAAGGCTTGGATGTTGTTGTTGTTGTAATAGAAGTAATTACTGTCATGTTTGATAGTACCAAACTTTAAACATGACAGTACTTTCCAAGTTTGATAGTAATTACTCTTATTTAGAGAATAAGAGTAATTACTCTTATTTAGATAATATGACAATTATATTTTGAAATTTTGAAACATTTTTAGTAATATTTAGGGAAATTTCCCAAGTACTAGGTTTTGAGTCATGTTTAGTACATGCAAGCCTAGACTTATTGGTAGTGTTATTCAAACCTTTTTTCAGAATATTCCAAGTAAATATTACAAAGTGAACATTCAATAGTTTGATGATAATGAGAGTTTTTTAATCACCCCTGTAGGCCTGTAGGCCTGTACCCCAACATTGGGATATTTCTTCAGGATGTCGTAGTTTAAGTGTTTGTCGCTTCACTAACATTATTCAATTATGAATTGGAACTTCATTTTAAAAAGCTCAGTAAGCCTTAAAATTTGCTAATACTTTAGTTTATACTTGCTCATTCTTATTAAAAAAACAGTTTACGAAATTGACTAAAGACAAGATTAATTCATTCATGACCATTTACAAATTAATGCTATTAATGAAGACTTACTCCTTTATATGAATTAATTAAAATCTCTATTTAATCTAAAAAATACTTCGTATGAGCCTTTTTTGCAACTCAAAGTTTGATATTAAAACGAAATCATTTTGTTCAACAAGAGAAAAGGTGAATACTCAGCTATTATTTGGGACGAGAAGAACTACGGTTTATTCTTTTCACTTTTATTGCAACTTTTCATAGTTATGAGCCTAAGATATATTAATGGAGGATAATGTAAATATCTTTACGCCATCTTCTCATTTTAACTCACCTTATTTTAAGGGAAAAGGGGGCAAATAAGCCCACATACTAATAAAAAAAGGTCAAATAAGCCCTTATATAGGAGGCGTCATCGCCATTTGGAGCGGTTCCCTCTGTAATTTTTTGATGAAATTTTTTGAGCATCTTATTCATTAAGTCTAGTTTACTCATACCAAATTTCAACTAACAATTTAATCGGGAAGACATTCAAATGAATTCTTGAAGATAACTGCACTTTTAAGTTATCTTCAAGAATTCATTTGAATGACTTCCCGATTGAAGTTTTAGCTGAAATTTGGTATGAGTAAACTAGACTTAATGAATAAGATGTTTATAAGTTTCATCAAAAAATTCCACCGGGAACTGCCCCAAATGGCGACGGTTGGACAGAGCCTCCTAAATAAGGGCTTGTTTGACCTTTTTTGTTAGTACGTGGACTTATTTGCTCCTTTTCTCTATTTTAAGAGACAAAATGAGGATGCTAAGCTATATACCTGCTGGTGCTGAGAAGCAGCTCTTTGGAGTCAGTCTCAGTTCTTGCAGAATGCTGGCACCGATCACCATCATCACCCATGTTTCTCCGGGGATCCACCGGCCCGAAAGAGGGCGGTTTCCGCCTGCCAGGGGGCAGGCAGGCCACCGAAGAGGGAGGAGGAGGAGGAGACGAAAGCGAGACGAATGTCGGCAGAGCTGCTCCCTCCAGAAAGGACACCCGAAATTCAACTTCATCACCATCTTTCTTTTTCTTCTTCCTCATCCTCCTCTGTTCTTCTACTGGACTTTGATCCAGATTTATCTCAATGTATGCATCCTCGTCTTCTTCTTCATGAATGCAATGAACAGAAGAGCTGCTCTCCATAAAAGGGTCTACTTCAGAAAGGAATTGAAGGAGAAGGTGATTATGTAATTAATTAATATTTGAGAATTGGAAGAAATGGGATGAAGATATGGCAATGTGGTGGTTGAATGGAGAAGACTATTTGTGTAGCAGTTTACCAAAGTCAAAGGCGTTGGATTGGCTATGCCCCATAATACGGGGCACCCCGTTGACCATCCATAATTTCCGTGGACTAATTATTTTTCCTCTTCACTATTGTTATACTAGTATATGGGCATATGGCTGAATTATTGTTTTTATTCATTAATTATTGTATTTATTGTAGATATATTTATAAATACTCCAAAGTAGTACAATATAATCAGGACAGAATTGCAGCTTTGCATTGTCCAGAATCTTGATTTATACCAAGTCATTGGACCAAATAATATTTCTATGATATTGCTCTAGTTATGGCAACCTAACTTTGAAAATCCATGAGGCAAAATATCTATAATATGATTAAGTGAGTACCTAATCTTCAACACATAAATTAATCATAATACCTACATGGTGAGTGGGAAACCTTTACACTCAATGTATGCATTTGTCTCAAACATTTGGAAATTGGAATGTGATATTTGCCCTTTAATCAATGCAAATCTAAAATCTCATTGAGAACCAATAATCTCCATTCAAATTTGAGTCAAATGCCAGATTTTGTGTGCGGTCGCGTCCATAAAATACTTCTTCCTTCTATTTATCATTTAATTATACATCTTCCACAAAATTACACATTGCACATATTGATAGCTAGATATATAGCGAGTGGGGCGTATTTCTTTTACAAGTTGGGACGTTTGGATGCTCATAGAAGTCGATAGTTTGGCTAATTGGCTTTGCAGGTGAAGGCTGGACTTGTGTAGTTGTGTGGTTGGTATATGTGATTAAGTTCATTATTGATTTTCAACTTATAGAACGTTTACTTTCGCCCGGTTTGAACTAATATTTTATTTCATATACTCGAGAAACTGTATTAAACGTCTCCACTTGGATTGATTTGATTCTTACAACATACAAGTATCATACTAGAGTACACTTAAACAAACTACAGTGTTAAATGTCCTACACCGGAAAAGTTTGGATGAACTAAATGCTACGTAGTATATTAACACATGTGATACTCTTCATATTAGGTTGACCTTTTAGGATGGAATCCCAGGTCTTAACATGATATCAGAGCCAAATCGATCCATGGTGTGGGGCCCCTTATGAAAATGATTATAAAAAAAAGACAATTACGGCCGGATGAAAAAATGGACCGATGAAAAAATGAATGATGGCACGATCCAGACGAAGTGTCTGGACGTGAGGAGAGGTGTTAAATTTCCCACGTCGGAAAAGTTTGGATGAACTAAATGCTATATTAACACATACATCAAGTTGAGTTTTGTTCCCAAACCAAGGTAGTTTTTAACTTATTTCCCAAACAAGGGAAGTTTTTGCCTTGTCACTTTTCCAGATTACTCCTACAGAAATCGGACCTCTTTTAGTCTAAAAATATGGAACGGCCAGTGGGAATTGAACCCGAGCAAACTGCTTAAAGCTTTGAGACCAAACCCATTAAGTCACTACGTACACTGATTTGTTAATTCTTCATCTCTAAATTTAATTTTGTCATTCAGCTTTAGGTCATAAATAAAAAACTAAGGGGTGTATTGAATATGGATTGCGGTGGACTTTTATTAATCCATGGACTTTTAAAAAGTTAATGGACTTGTAAATCCATAGACTTTTTTATAAATGAATTCTTTTGACTTAAATCCATGGATAATTTTATAAACTTTCAAAAAGTTCATAGACTTTTAAATCTGGACCGCCACTGCTGGGTCATCAGTATTTTCACCTAGATCGCTGCTACCATCGGCCTTTCGGCCATCTCTATCACTGGAGTTCGCCATCGTCATCATCGGACTCATCCGCCACCAATAAAATGACTTTGGTTACATGTAACCGTATGTTTACTGGTGACAATTAATTATATTAATTAATTAAATTAGTCCTATTTAAGAAAAATCAAACATATGATCATATTTTGAGAAAAATGCTATGATTTAGTCCTACCGTGAGCAATTTCTTATGCATAATATAATAAGAAACAATTAAATAAATAAATGAAACAAATGTAATTCATCTAACATCGCAGAGTTCTACAAGAATAAATAAAACATAAGAATCCAAATTTATTTTTATTAAAAAGAAAACTCAAAATTGCAAGAATGTTTAAGAATCTATATCTCTTTATGGTCAATTGTTATATTACACAACTCAATGAGTAAAAACATTAATCGTTAGACAAACCTTACACTCATTGCTGCATGTGGAACAAACATATGTGCAATCGAGTTTTTCTTTTTAATAATTGTTTTCCTTTTATTTTCAGGTTGTTAACTTTTGTATACTTATTTATGCTTAAATATTTATTAATTTGAAATTATATTTTTATATGTTAGCGATTTAACGATGAAACACGATAATAGTTAAAATATATTTTTCTTAATAGTTAACCGAAAACGCACCAGAATTGCACCGATGTAATATATTATTGTTGAGTAAGATTGTACGGAGTAAAACTTTTTAACATTATTAGCCACAAAAATGAATAAATAATTATGAACAAACGATGTGCAGGAATAGGTGAAGCACTTATGATGTGCAGGAGTGGAAATAGTAGAGTTTAGTACTGCTCTATGCCTGTTTTTTATTTTTCATACATGTAAACATACGGTTATTATGTTTGTGACTCAAACGTATTTGAGTAAAATAAATTTAGAGACGCGATGCTAACAAGTAAGAATAGTGGTGGAGTGGTATTTGTTAAGAGATTATTAGCAGTTGTTCTATGATCGACTCCCGCTGACCTTTACTTTTTTTTAAACTAAAAGAAATCCGATTTCTGCACAAATAAATCAGGAAATAAAGTGACATGGAATTAGTGATGTGTCTGATTTATGCAGAAGTAATCTCGAAAAGTGACATGGCACCTACAATATGATGACAAGCCAAAATATCAACTTTTTATAATGTTTACTAATACATAATTAAATATAATTACAGTCAAAGTTGTACGTTGGCAAACGTAAAAGTCAAACTGTTGCAAGAATTAAAGAACGGAGGATAGTATATGTTTAAGACTTAAAGCACAAACGTATGCTCTCTATGTTTAATCGAGGTTGCGAACTCGTGACATTGAATTCATGTACTCTAACAATAAGATGTATGAAATGCATAATCGTATTCCGTATAACAGTATATGAGAAGAAAATCAGAAATGTAGCCGTAATACATACTAATAGTGTGTCATACACTGCAAAAACACAACAACAACAAAATAGAACGGATTTGGCAGTTTGGCACTGATCAAAATACATTTTTGACACAGATTTGCTAGACATCCGCAAATTCATGTTAGCTTCGTATCAAAATCCAGACTGAATACGTTTGGCCATACCAAATTCTTGACAAAGATCAGTACCAAATCCATATAAAATCCAATCAATCCTGTTGTTTTTTTGTAGTGATATTGTTGATGCTCCGTATATGCAAATACAAAATGCCCTTAATATTAATACAGGGCATTATTATAGCTATGTATACGTAGTTTGTGGGCAGTATCAATGTATCATAATTCATAAAGGTACCATGATTAATGCCATTAACGAATTGAACAATACCATAGTACATCAATGGTAGTAATAGAACGTTTCAAGAGTCTGATCTAATTCTATACGTCTTGCTATTTAGATTAGACTAATTACAGAGTACCCTAGTAAATAATACTCGGAAGATAACGATGAGATAATGACATGGGTTAATGAATCAAACATATACAGTATAACTTTGATTATATATTTATTTATTATAGAGCACTATATAATTCACTTATGAGGTACTTCATACCCCGTAATATAATGAAATATTTGTACCATTTATGAAAAAAACAAAAAATTATCGAAATATCATTAAAAATGTTTTGAAAATTTTAATCTTATATTATTCTTTCGATCACATTTAAGAATGACAATAATTACTCTTATCAGAGAATGACAATAAAAAAGTCCTATTTTGAAATTCAGTGATATTTTTAGTCGTGCCAATTTGTAAAAAGTGAATTAAGGGGTGTTTGGAACTGATTCAGCTTCTGCTTTTTTTAAAGCAGAAGAAGAATCAGTTTTCAGAAGCTAGTCATCCTCCAGCTTCTAAAAAAACTGATTCTAAGAGTAAATTTAAGTACTAGAATCACTTATACACTTTCATCCAAAGACTCTAACTTCTGCTCTCGGAAAGAAAGAGAAGCTCTTTAAAAATAGATCCAAACACCCCCTAATAAACACCTTCTCTAAGAGGCCTTCGACGGCAAAGAGGACAAACAAGACGGTTTTGAAACCATGTTCGGAGACAATCTTCGTGGAAGGAGCAATGGTCGCAGGGCAAGACGGGGACCTCCGTCCCCGCCGTCATCTCCTCCAAACAAATCACGCACCGGTCTTGAGCAGCACTATTTTCGCCGCCCTCCTCTATCCTCTTCCTCTTCGTCGACGATTTGACTGGCAATTCCTTCGGGAATTTAGGGACCGGCGGGATTCCGGGCGGTGGAATTACCGGCATCGCCCGGACACCGTCGCGATGCAGCGAAGAGAGCACCCGGACTTCCAAATTACGCCCTGAATTCCCCGCTCTGCCCATCACATCATCGGCGATGGCGTTCTGGATGTTGAAGCGGATCGGAGTCGGGCCGTGCGAGAGGTTCGCGAAGCGGCGGATGTGGGCGCGCCGGGCCTCCCGGTTTTCCGAGAAGAGACGGCGGGGCAGGCAGACGGTGGTGCGCTGGTTACTGATCCGGAAGTAACCGCCGTCACGGTCAGGATGCGGGTCGTAGACGGAGAGGCTGAAAATTGCGTGGGGGTGGCAGGCGGCGGCGCACGTGACGTTGGGATCGTCTTCTAGTGGTGGTCCCTCGTACGGAGATACCATGAAGGTCACTCTTCTGCCGCCGTGACATTCCGGCTCCTCCATTGTCCGCATCATCGTCTTCGATCTTAATTGATTAGTTCAGTGATTAGGTTTATGTTTTCTTAATCGATCCCTGATCTGATCTCTTACATATATTAGCGGATCCGAAAATTTACTCTAGTTTCAAATTTTAGTCTTTGACACGAATTAGAATTTAGAAACTTCCCAAAATCTAAATACTTGTAATTATTAGGGAAAAGTACAGAAAAAAAGTACTTGTGTTTGGGCTCGTTTTTAGTCATGTATTTCACTCTTTATCAATGTGGCTCATGTGTTTGAATTCCGTTATTACAAGAGAGTTACGCCGTTAAAAACATTTGAAAAAGACTGTTAAAAGTAACTCCGATTTTCAAAAGTGCCCGGAAAATTAAAAGAAAAATACCGAAAGGTGCGCCTTGTCAAGATGACCTCCAAACCACATTCGCCTTTGGATTTTTCAGAGCTTTTTGAATTATTTTTTAAAAATGATTTCTCTAATATCACTTTTCCAGTGATAAGAGTGGTTGAAAACAAAAAAGAAATAGGGCTAGTGGTCGTCGAGGCACATTTTCTAGGATTTTTCATTTAATTTTTTGGACACTTTTGAAAATCGGAGTTACTTTTAACGTTTTTTTTCCGGCGTTTTTAACGATGTGACCCTCTTGTGATAACGGAATTCTAACACATGAATCACTTTGATAAAGATTGAAATACATGACGAAAACAACTCAACTACAAGTCTTTTTCCGTACTTTTCACTAATTATACTCTCCGGTATTCTCCTCATAACACATGAATCACTTTGATAAAGATTGAAATACATGACGAAAACAACTCAACTACAAGTCTTTTTCCGTACTTTTCACTAATTATACTCTCCGGTATTCTCCTCATATTCTTATACTCGTATTTCTTTTGTGTTTCAGTTTGTCCTATTCTAAAAGTAATTACTTATTCAAAGTCGGTCGGGCAATATTAATTTAACTACCCATTAAAGTTCTGTCAAAAAAAAAAACTATGCATCTTATTTGGTTACCTAGATTTTTTAGTTTATCGACTTATATTTCATTTGTTTTCATTTTATTTGCCTTATTAAGGTAAGTGTATACCGTACAGCTGGATGTAAGGTGAGCATTGTACAATCAATGACATTTTGATAATTTAAATGAAACTCACTACAAATGAGAATTAATGCACTTTTAGTGAACATCATACATATTTTATTAAGTATTAAGACTCTAACAATGAGCATCGTGATTTCCTTAGGCAGCGTAGGACAATTTTATAATTCAAGAGGCGAATCCGTTTTATTGTAAGTACATGAAGTATTTATATACGTAGATCTACAATAGCCTAAGGAGATATAACTGATACATTTAATAGTCTATTCATGATATGACTTCTCCAACGTATCCCATTATTCAACAATTATTACTCCTTTATGGGCCAAAATGGGCCTTGCGAATCGGGCCCGTGTGGGGATAGAGCGTTCCTTGATTTCTTGAGTGGTGAGCGTGCGAATCTACTTAAGAAATTATATTCTCGCTCACGCTCTTCCTTGAATCTGTGTCTTCGGGTAGTCCTTTGTGCATGCATGAATAAGTGAGATGCAATGTGTATTCCTTGCATTGGGCACGATGGCGCTGAGGGGCGATTGTTCTACATAAAACGGCGGTCGCCATACCAAGATAGAGATGGGCGAGCCCGGGCGAAAACTAGACATGACGGCGTTGAGGAGCCGTTCGTGCTGCACCAAACGGCGGTCGCCAACCTAGAACAGGGATAGATAAACCTAAACGGGAACTAGACACGATGGCGATGAGGACCGCTCGTGCTGCATAAAACGGCCACCGCCATCTCAGAACATGGATAGGCGAGCACAGTCGACAACTAGACACAATAACGCTGGGGAGCCGTTCTTGCTGCAAAAAAATGGATGTCGTCATCCTAGAACAGGGATAGGCGAGCCCGACCGAGAACTAGACATGATGGCGTTCATGAGTCGATCTTGTTGCTTAAAACGGTGGTTACCATCCCAGAACAGGGATAGGCGGGCCCATTCAAGAACTACACACGACGAAGGTAAGTAGCCCCTCGTGCTTCGTAAAACGGCGGTAGCCATCCCATAAAAGAGATATGCCAGCCTGACCGATAACTAGACAGGACGGTGCGGATGAGTTGCCGATCGTGCTGCATAAAACGACGATTGCCAACCCAGAACAAGGATCAACGAGCCCGACCAAGGACTAGAAACAACGACACTGAGGAGCCGATCGTGCTGCATAAAACGGTGATCATCATCCTAGAACAGAGATCGACACTCTTTGGAGTGCACTCTTTGATATTTGAGTCCTTGGAATGATTTTTCAGCAGACATAGATGCCAATATAAATCAGGCTTAATCTTGTATTTGGATATTTATGTTTCTTCATATATCACTATAAAATCGTAATTATTAGTAGAAATTAATATAAAACGTCTTTTCACGCCTACATTTCGCCTATACCTACCTAGATTTTAAAGGCTTAAGACTTTGTCTCGATGCTTTGTTACATCTCACACCGTCTAGAAAACTACTAATTACACACTCAAAATTTAATCATAAGTTATTGAAGAAGTCCCCATAAACAAGACAAAAAATGTTTAACCAAGGTTGTGACATTGAATTCAGTTAAATGCACACATCTAATTTTATGTCTTCAAAGTAAACATTCTAGTGAACAAATCTTTAAATTGAAAAAATTTATTAGTTATAGGACTAGATTTTCAACCCAATTAAGTCACAGGACTAATTACGTTCACAACTGAAAGTCACAGGATTAAAATTGCAATTATCGCTTTTCATAATGTCCACTACAAAAAAAAACTCGGGATTGACAGGGATTTCCCGAAATTGGCAGGGATTTTGGCGGAGAAACTGTATAAAACAACGTTTTTTATGTTTTCTAGATCGGTTATGGCACAACCGATGTAGAAAAAGTTTTCACATCGATTAAACAACCGATGTGAAAAGACTTTATTTTTCACACGGGCACGATCAACATGGGTTGTATAACCGATGTGAAAAGTGAATTTTAACCGATGTGAAAAACCTTTTTTTGTACTAGTGAAAAGAACCCAGAAATCAGCACAAATACAATCAAGCACATCAGTGCTTTTAGTCTGATCAGGAAAACTAACTCTAGAGTGTTTTCCTAGCACACAAGGTTTCACAACTTTCATGATTCTTTTTCCTCATTTTCCCTTCAAACCATCATTATCAAGAGAAGCACAAGATAACAAATTACAACATAGCTCCACATCATGCATAACATTCTTCAAAGTAAGCACACAACCAGAAGAAAATCTAATATGTGCATCTCATATTTCTAGCATATTGCATCTCTTCTCATTTGCTAATGACACAAAATCATGCTCACTCTCTCATAGATTGAACAAACAATTTTAAAAGGGGACATATGAAAAGTACAACCATAATCTACTACCCAATCTGATTTACACAAGGAATCAGATACCACAAAACTCAAAGATTAATAGAGGTGCTGGGAAGGTAACCTTAAAGATATGTTTACACACAGACCAGAACCTCCTATAAGTAGTTTTAGAAGTTGGGGGAGACCAACTTATGAAAAAATGATTCTAATTCTGTTACTGCTTTAAAAAAAGTAGAAGCTGAATCAGTTCCAAACACCCTGAGGAATTGTATCTTAGCATCAACTTTCTATACTAGTCATTAGTTAATATTCAGCCATACACTTTTTATTTTCTCAGTAGTGATTGAAAAAATGATGAATCCGGTACAACCACACTAATTCACATATACTATTATGAGAATTCAATTCAATCCATGAATTATAATTTTTCCATGGGACATAAAAAAGGAATAGAGAAAGGAATAGCTAAGCTTCGAAAAAGAATACAGTTCATAAATTACATTATTACATTTAAGAGCATCTCCAATGCTACAATGTGCACGGTGCACATGTGGCATGAGAGAGATAGACACAAAAGATTGATTTTATGACATGTCTCTCTCCGTCTTTCCACGGTCTTATGTGTTTTTGGTAAGTTTTTCCCTGCAATGTCAATCACAATGTCTACATCTAGACATTGTGCTTGACATTGTGAAGGGAAACTTATCAAAAAGATATAAAATCCTTCAAATAAGGAGAGAGTTATTTTATTTATTATTTTTTGATTGGCTAACTTTTATGCCACATATGAACCGTTAACGTTTTAGCATTAAAGATGCTCTAAGTACGAACAATGATACTGCGCATCATATCCTTGAACTCGAAGAAATCAACCTGGCCGTCCTGATTTTGATCGACGGACGAGATCATCTGCTCAACTCTGTCCATCTCCCTGCCTTCTTCCTTTAATCCCAACTTTGCAAGAACCGCCTGTTATGAGTTTTTGAAGATGTGTTTATGATTGAGCACAATGAATGGTGTTTCAAGATGCTAGAAAAGCTCTCTTTTTCAGTTTTTGGATCTGATTCTCAAAATTGATTCTGCTCCTTCAGAAAGCAGAAGCAGAAGCTGGAGTGTTTGGGTGAAATTCTAGAAGCACTTCTGGAGCTCTAATTTACTCTCAGAATCAGTTTTTTTAGAACCTGGGAGGTACCAGCTTCTGAAAACTGATTCTGATTCTGCTTCTGTTTTTAAAAAAGAAGCAGAAGCAGAATCAGTTCCAAACACCCCCTAAAACACATTTGTGTTCGTTTTGGTAGTTTGTAAATTAAATTTTATACACATTAGTGAAATCAATCACTTGCATATGAAATAAAAGTACTTACTTTGGTGTGTAATTTATTTTTAAATTATATGTGAAACCATTGAAGTGCTATATAAATACGAGCATAAAATATTAATGTAAAGTATTTTACAACCCAAAAGTACTCCATATTTTACATGGTATATCCGTATATGTAGTGCAAAACATAAAAGAGTGTCCAAAAGTTGCTTACATCGAACAAGCATTTAGCCCTCTATTTTTATAATCTTTTTCCGGCTACTTGTTTATATGGTCAGATCCACTGTACTTAAATCTGATCTAGCTTGAATTGATTTGATTTTAAGTGATTTAAACCTGAAAAAGTTCAGATCTATATATATATTTGGGGTCCGGAGTGAAGTCATTCACATTTGAAATTGACATTTCTAGTATGGTCGTACTTTTCTTTCAAATAATAGTCATTTTCTTGAAGTTGTTTATTCTTTCATTCCATGAAATCATTTTTGAATTAAGACAATTGTCTTTATATATTAAGATGACGTCTCAATTAAGTGAGATTGGAACTACAAACTTTTTACTTTGTGTTCTACGAGAATACTGAAATACTCAATTTATCCTTGTGTAGGTATGAAAGCTATTCTTTATTAATCAATGGAATCAATTTACCCTTCCCACAGATGGCGCCAGTGTTGAGGTTAATTCCTTCAACCCTTGGACCCAACACGTAAGCCCAAAGATTTCGAGTGGAGTGAGTGTATGAATATCTAGCCCAACAACTATCAGATGGATCAGGAAAACAGAGGAAAATAGCAGGCAATGTAAATAGGTATTATTAACTTCGCAATAACTCCCCTAAGTACAATCTACTTGCTAAAAAGGCACGTCGGCCGTTCGTCTTACAAGGCAGTAGAAATGCTGCGAGTAAGAATACGATAGCTAGAGTGCTAAGAATAGAAAGTTGCCAACCCTTTACAATGAAATGAATGCTTCTATTTATAACCACCAATGGGCAGGTGGCTGTGCTGACGTGGCAGCCTGTGGACCGCTGGTGCCCCAACTACCAAATCTTCAGCATTAAATGCACTTCCCGCCAGAATCTAGGCTTCCCGCCTAATCAGTGGGGACGTTCGTCCACCCGGGAAGTGAGTTGGATCCCCCCAAGTGACCCCCAGGAGATACCGGCTGTTCGTCTCCTGGCCTTGATAGATACTCACCATGTGGACTGAGCCTCCTCCGATGACTATAGGCTTGTCATGGGGACGTTCGTCGTCATGCCTGGTGGCCTGCGGCCCTGCTCCTTATCCCTACATTGACGTTCGTCGGGAGGAGCCGCTGGGCCTGAACCCCCAACCCCAGACGTTCGTCCATCCTCCAGGAACATGGGCCTGTGGGCAGGCCTAGTGTTCTAACTGGACGTCCGTCTGGCCAAATGGGTTAGTGGGCCGGACCTCGGCTTGGGCCCTTAACCCAACACAAGTCCCCCACTTCTGATGTTCTGGGCTTGCGCAGGACATAAGGAAGTATGAACTCCCTCGAAGTAGACGTTCGTGTCTTGATACTTGTGTTTTCTGCACCCGTTGGAAGCGTACGCTCGTGGTCATGGTGCTTGACAGCTGTCGACGGTTCAGGAAACGAGGTGACGGCTGATGTTGCGGCGGTGCATTTTCCCGAGGAAGTGTCATCATTACGCTTCCATCCCACGCACGGCGCGTGAGCCGGACCATGCTCTTTGTTACGTGTCAACCCCTCGTTGGCCCCTTAAACGGTGCTTCCCCTATAAATGCCGGGTTTTCCCCCTGAACTAGGGTTCCCAATTTCTGCCCCCTTGCTTTAGAATCTCCGCCGTTCTTCGAGTTCTCTGCGCGGTTTCCGAGTTCGGCTAAACCCCTTGTAAGGTAATTTCCCCCCCTCTGCTTCTTTCCTTTGTTCTGTTTCCTAGCCTAAATGACTTCGATGGAGATCTCATCAAGTTCCGATTCCGATTCGTCGGGTTCCTCTTCGGGCTCCTCTTCTGACGATGTGAATGCACGTTCCCCGGGAAAGGCCAGTGTTTCTGGGACCTCTGGTTCGGCCACGACGGTGGGGACCATCCGGGCTGATGGTGAGCCGGATGACACTTCCCAAGGTAGTGGGAGTGACGCCGGGGACGGGAACGCCGATGGGGCAGTAGACGTTATTGATGCAGTCCCCTTGAACGAGCGCCCTGCCGATTATGATTCTGGAGAAGAGGCCGAATCAGGTTCTGATATGGAGGTGCATGATCTGGGCATCCCTACGGATATGGAGCGCCACATTTGTCCGATCAGAAGTGCCCTTGACCATGATTAAGTCCTCTCCCGTGTGGCTCTTAACAAAATCCGCACCTTCTTCCCCCCGCCGTTCGTCTGGAGCGTGAGGGGCGCCGAGCACGTGATGAGGAGACGTCCGGGGATGATCATGCTCCACCTGGACTCCGTGGAGGCCGGGCTGCGATTTCCACTTCATGCGTTTTACGTGGAGTTCTTCCACTGCTTCCAGGTGGCCCCGACGCAATTCATGCCAAACTCTTATAGGTTCATATCGGCCTTCCTGGTGCGCTGCAAACTGGCGGGGGTCGATGCCACCCTGGATCTGTTCCACTACTTCTTCCGGATCACTCCCCAGAACTCCGACGGTTACCTGAGCGTGGCTGCTCGTCCGGGGAGGAGGTTGTTTAAGAGCTACCCCTCCTCCATTCATGATTGGAAAAACCGGTTCTTCTTCCTCCGTTATGACGGTCCCCCCCTCCCAGTTCGTTGGAATGGCTATCCCCCGAAGATAGAGTCGCCGGAGTTGACCGATGATCTGAGCGAGACCGTGGAAGGCATCCTGCAGGGCGGCATTCGCCCCATAGCCGGCTATCTGACCTTCGAGGCACTCTCGGGGGCAGGCATAGGTACCGCCCGTGTCCTTGGACTCTTTCCACCCTTCGACGCTCGTCTCGTGGCACCGGGCGGTCCTGTCCTTCAAGGTGAGTGTCCTATTACTTTCTTCATTCGTCTTTTAACCTTTTACTGTTTTCCTGCAGGTTTTCCGCCAGACAGAGCTCAGATGAATCACGCCGAGTGTCTGAAAACAAGGAAAGCCAAGGCGGCCGCTGCTAAAGCCGCACTGGCGAAAGCTAAGAACGCCCCCGCCTCGGATTCCAACTCCTCAGCTTCTGACGCCGCCCGACGAACTGCCGAGGGTGAACAGCACTTAATTGCCACTGTGCTGGCTCAGGGTTCTGGGACCCCTGCTCTTGAAGCTGCCCTTCCACCGCCGGTCGTCCCAACGAAGGCGGCTCCTCAGAAGGGGACAGAGAAGGTCCCCGAGAAGAAACAGAAAAGGGGCCGCGAGGCAGGCTCCACCGGCCCCCTGCTTGAAGATGCCGGCTCCCTGCCTTTGAGCCGCCCGGCGGAAGAGCTTTGGAAGGAGATGGCCCTCAAGGCCGGTCTCGAGCTACCCCGCCGTTCGTCATCTGAGGCGACCAGTCGTGCCCTGGCCGCCGTTATGACGGTCCCCCCTCCCAGTTTGTTGGAATGGCTCATCTTCTAACGTTCATCAATTTACCCTTCTCTATAGAAGCTCTTCTTCATTATATTTGAAATTAAAAGTTTTCTTTTTTGTTGCATAATTCAATTATTTCAGCCAAAATTTTATCAATTTAAGAGTATTCAACCGATTCAATCAATTTTGGGGTTACCACATGAGTTCTTAATCTCCATGGTTTTATCCAATATGGGGCGGGGGGTGGGGTATTTGGAGTTGATTCTATTTGTACTCATTTTGTTAGAATAATAAATAAGTACAATCAGACTCAGTTTTTCAGAAGTTGATTTCACAAAATTTCTAAAAAATTGCTTCCATAAACAATTTAGAGTATTTTTTAAAATATTTTTGGACTTTCAACCAAACACTCCTATAACATTTTTCTGCTCTCTTAAATTTACTTTGTATAATTTTTTTAAGAACTAGATCCAAACACATTTTCACTAAAGCACGCACTCGATTTGAATAAATTTCTAGAAAGAATACCGGGACATGAAGATTTTAATAGAAGACAAAATTTAGCAAATATGAATAAATGTAGCGCATTTATCTAAATGATTATTTCATTTATTATTGGCTTGTTGCCTCCTCTTGAATTTGACTTCTTCATCGAAGACTATATTTTTATTAATTTATTCTTATAAGAAAACTACAAAAAATAACTTCGTCCCATTTTATAAAATGGTTTTTCATATTGTTCCAATAATATGAATTATGAATTCCTAAATTAAACTTCATTAGCATTATACTTTAAAATTTTATCTCTACCATTTTATATTTAACTTTTTGAAAAAATGTACAACTTTTTCTTACTTTTGGAGATTAAAATTGTAAAATACGAAGCAATTACTTTCTTTTATTCTATTTTATTTCATTAAAACTCAGTCTTATATAGCGTGGTTGTTTTCTTAAATCTCGCACTAGTTTAACTTTCATATTTCTCCTTGTTATATTTAAACAATTTGTCTTATATAGTCTAGACTATAGACTATAGGCAATTATTTAGGGACCAATTTGAATTTAAAGAGCTATGTAAGTTGTTACCTGCAGTTCCCTTGCGGATATAAATCCGTCGCCGTCCTCGTCAAACACCTTGAACGCCTCCGTCAGATCATTTTCCTCCTGCGCCGGGCAGCTGATACTCGGCGCATCCGCCGCATCACCGCCGCTCAGATCAGAATCCATCGGCGATCCGAAGAAGACGTGGTCGAGCGACCGGTGAAGTGCGTCGAAGTCTTCGAATCTCAAACCGGAGCTCCCCGGTTGGATGAAAGACCAGACGGTGGATTCCATCTGCGAGAAATCGGTGTCCAGGCCGAGGAGGTTCAGCGCCTCGCTGAGCTCGTCGACGCTGATCACGTTGTCGTTGTTCCGATCGAAGAGATCGAAGACCCGCCGGAGACGGACGGAATTGAGGCTCGGACTTCGGAGCCGGAATGAGCAATTGCTTCTATTGCTGAGGCTTCCGTTACGCTGGTATTCAGGTTCGCCGGCCATGGCGGTAGTATGATGATCTGTTTTAAGGTAAGGCGAGTAGAGAGATCAGAGAAGAGGAAGGAAGATAATTGGGATTCAAAGAAGTAGAGATGGGACATGAAATTGTTTGATGCGCAAGGAAATAAATACCAGCAGCCTCATCCATATTTCAACACTTAGCCATAGTTCACTAAATTCCAATTTTACAGATTGAGTTGATGAAATTTTGAACTTTTCAATTTGACTTTCATTTCTCTAGTTTGCGGTTGTTTTCACTTATAAAAAGATTTGATTTTTTTAAGTGATTTTGGAGAAAATACTTAATAATAAAAGTTATAGACAATTCCCTAAAAAAAGTAAAAATGTTTTGAAATTTCAAAATAATACAATCATGTTTTTTATTCCCTGAATATGAGTAAGTTTCTTCCAAGTTTGGCATTACTAGGCTTTAAACATGATTTTTATTTTCAAACTTGGCAGATTACTCTTATTCAGGAATAAAAAACATGATAGTCTTATTTTGGAATTTCAAAACGTTTTTACTCTTATTTAGGGAAATTTCTGTAAAAGTTAGTAATGTTTGAGAAAAAATTGGAGGAAAGGGTCAATTGGGTACACTAACTTGTATGGGGTGGAGTAAAGAGTACATTATATTGCATTTGATCATTTTAAGTACACAAATTCGGATTTTTATTATTAATTGAGTACACCCGTTAAAATAACACGTGAATACAGCTGAGTTGGCTAACGAACCATTGAGTAAGAAAGGGTAATGGACCAATGTTATGGCGCCGACCTTCACAAAGTTGACCAAAAATGGAAAATTGACCTTCAGAGGTCGACCTGCGGGGGGCGTCGGCTAGCAGGGGTGCATCGACCAAGGAGAAGTCGACCTGTCGGGGACTGACGTCGATCAAGAGAAGTCGATGAAGTGGTTGGGGGCTGGCTTGACCTTCAAGAAGTCGGCCTAGTAGCGTTCCGTTAGCCAATTCAGCCGAATTAACGTGTTAATCTAACGGGTGTACTCAATTAACACTAAAACCCCTAATTTGTGTACTCAAAAAGATCAACTGCAATATTGTGTACTCTTTACTCTACCTCATACAAGTTGATATAGTCAGTTGAAAAAATAAAAGTTAGTAGTGTTTGATTAAAAAAAGTATTTTTTTTGTAATACAAAAAGTGAATAGCAGTTTAAAGCACCTTCTATCTGCTTCCAGTTTTTAACTTTTAATTATTTAATTAAGAAGAAGCTGACACATAAAATCACCAATTTTAGTTTTTTTAATCGAAAATCACTTTTTATAATTGTTTGCAAACACTTTTTAGTGATTCTTTGACTTTGAATTAACTTTTTCATCAAACTCGTTATAAAAAAGCATTGTCAATGCCAAAAACGATTCCCTATATAAAATGAAAAACTGTCTATGTACATTCAATTTAACAGCGTGTACAACTTGATGTGTAAAAACAACATTTCTATGTAGGGGGTGTATTGTATTAGGAATTAGTGGCAAAATTTTAAAAGTCCATGGATTTTAAAAGTTTAGGTGTATTCAATGTGGACTTTTAAAAGTCCACAAAAGTCTAGGTGTATTCAATCCGGACTTTTAAAAGTCTATAAAAGTCTAGGCGTATTCAAATTTCCGTTCATTCTCATTGACTTCTAAAATCATGGATTCTCGTAGACTTTTAATTCATTTTTAGTGCAAAAATTCTCTGCAATTGTCTCTTCTCCTCACCAAAGATTTCCGTGGACTTTTCTTATATTGGTTCTTCATCCCGTCCCACTTCATTCCTCCCCTCCCTCCCAGGGATGGACCAGGCCCGACCCGGTTTCGGTTCCGAGTTGGGCCCGGCCGGGCTTGGAATTTTTGGGGTAAGGCCCGGGACCGGCCTAGGAGTCTACTGGTACCGGGCGGGGCTGGTTCATTTTTTTTGGGTTTTCTTATATATTCCAACCCTCACCCCCAAACCCCTCCAAAACACCCAACCCAACCTACCTACCATAGGCCCAAACCAAAAAAACAAAAAACAAAAACAAATAAGGCCCGGACCGGTCGGGCTGTTCCTCAAATATGCAGTCCTGGAACCGCCCCAATTAACCCCCCCCCCTCGGGTCAGTCCTAGGCCCGGTACCGGTATCGATCCACCGGGCCGGGCTTAATTCATTTTTGTAGAATTTTGTGTTGCTATATGAATTACATTTTTTTCATTTATTTATTTATTTATTTATTTATTTATTTATTTATTTATTTATTTATTTATTTATTTATTTATTTATTTATTTATTTATTTATTTATTTATTTATTTATTTATTTATTTATTTATTTATTTATTTATTTATTTATTTATTTATTTATTTATTTATTTATTTATTTATTTATTTATTTATTTATTTATTTATTTATTTATTTATTTATTTATTTATTTATTTATTTATTTATTTATTTATTTATTTATTTATTTATTTATTTATTTATTTATTTATTTATTTATTTATTTATTTATTTATTTATTTATTTATTTATTTATTTATTTATTTATTTATTTATTTATTTATTTATTTATTTATTTATTTATTTATTTATTTATTTATTTATTTATTTATTTATTTATTTATTTATATTTTTATTTATTTATTTATTTATTTATTTATTTATTTATTTATTTATTTATTTATTTATTTATTTATTTATTTATTTATTTATTTATTTATTTATTTATTTATTTATTTATTTATTTATTTATTTATTTATTTATTTATTTATTTATTTATTTATTTATTTATTTATTTATTTATTTATTTATTTATTTATTTATTTATTTATTTATTTATTTATTTATTTATTTATTTATTTATTTATTTATTTATTTATTTATTTATTTATTTATTTATTTATTTATTTATTTATTTATTTATTTATTTATTTATTTATTTATTTATTTATTTATTTATTTATTTATTTATTTATTTATTTATTTATTTATTTATTTATTTATTTATTTATTTATTTATTTATTTATTTATTTACTTATATATTTCTTATCGTACTCCGTATTATATAGAGGAAATCACTTACGGTAGGACTAAAACATAGCATTATTCTTAAAGTATGATTAAATGTTTGATTTTTCTTAAATAGGAATAAATATTACATATTCACCCCTAATTTAATTAATTAATTAATTAATATAATTAATTGTCCCTAGCTCCCTTTCACAACCAAAGCCATTTTGTTGGTGACGCGTCAGTCCGATGACGACAGCGGGGAACTCCGGTGATGGAGGCGGACAGATCACATTCATATCGGTAGCGACAATCTAGGTGAAAATTTTGACGACCAGCAGTAGCGGTCCGCGTTTAAAAGTCTATGGACTTTTTGAAAGTCAATAAACTTAAAAAGTCCATAGAATTCATTCATAAAAATGTCTATGAATTTAAAAGTCCATTGACTTTTTTAAAAGTCCATGGATTAAAAAAAGTCCATAACAATCTACATTGAATACACCCCCCGTAGTTTTTGCTACATAGACTTTACCATGATTTACAATTCCCAACTCGCCATGGTACAGGATTAGATTGAGTCATTATTGACAGCTCATACGTTGACATGTAATCAATGCCAAGTCATTTTTCGTATAAAATAGAAACATTTTAAATACGGAGTAGTTCTTTTCATTCGGCATTGATCGGAGCCACATTTTGGTACAACCGTCCAACAAATTGTTAAGTTGGGATATTTTAAAATGGATCGATCAGACTTATAGTAACATTAAAATACATACACTAAAAATATCCTATTAGATTTATTAGTCCAGACCCATAACACTAAAATACATACTACGTATAAACTACTACCTCCATCCCACTAAGATTGGAACGTAGTGAGACGGAAGAAGGTGACATGATTTTTAAGAAAAGTGAGTTTATGTGGTTGATATTAAATTGATAAAGTAAGAATAAAGTAAGAATGATTTTGAGCCACACAATCTTTACCAAATTTGGTATGAGACAATCTTAGTGGAACTTCCCAAAAAGGTAAAACGAGACAATCTTAGCGGGACGGAGGGAGTACAATTTAGACTCAAACAATTTAGACACAAAAATACATACAAACTACACCTTTAACAAATCAGACAAATTCAATCTGAAAAGCTGGTTAAGACTTGAACCAGAACCATATAGAGAAAATCATATCAAATGAGAGTAGAAATGTTTAGTCCAAATAAAAACACCTGGTGAATAGAGAACCTAGGGAGTACAACTCCATTACATGTTTTTTTTAAAGTTAGATTCTATGGTACGGTACCATACCTTTGTCCACATGGACCAATAGATCAGAAGTGATGCAGTTGAATTAATTAAATCTAAATTAAAAGGAATAGAATGATTTGGACCAATCAAATGCATGGTAGGTACGGTATCTCAATTTTTAAAAGGGTACCGGAGTTGCCACCTTTTTTAAAATAACTCCATTACATGCTTAATAAAGCCATTTGTCATAAACTATAAAAGAAATGAAACTCTAAAATATGATTTTCTTTTTTGAATTACTACTCAACACTTCTGTGACATTATATTAAATAAAAGGAGAGCACCCGTTTCATTCATTGCATCATGCATTTGCATGCATAAAGAATAATGTTTGAAAGGTATATTTTTGCACTAATTCATTGTAAAGTAGAGTTATTTAATGAAGGTTATTTAAAGAAGTGAATGTTAACGACTACATTTTTTGTGTAAAGTACATTTAATGTACGACGATAACATGTAAGTATATTAGAAACCGTCAAAAGAGTTTATCTGTACAGCAAAAATATGAGTAGAAATGTAGGCTATCAAAATATTGGATAACCCATCACCTGCCAAAATAAGGGTGTCATAGTAGCCCCATATGCTATCTCACGGCCTATCACAAGCAAAAATAGGTGATGGGCAGAAAGTTGAGTACTACCAAATCACAAGGATAGATGCTATACAAAATTTAATAGACAACATATTTATCTTAGCAAAAACTTCCTCCTCTTTTGGCAAAAATCCATCAAATCTAGCTGCATTCCTGACCCTCCAAATCCAGTAGATGGTGCAAGAGAAAGCAATCCTAACAGCCTTGGCTTGCATATTAGCTCCGCTCCGGTCCTTCTTGATCCATTTGACCGAGCTAGCTAGGGTCCCCATCATCCGCGACATGCCAATCCATGC